AGTGACAATTCTATGTCTGATCCCGGACCCTGTCAATAAACCAGCTGTAGGTTATCTAGGATGGTTCTGGGTTCTCTGATATTTTCCTCTGTCTTTACTGGATTATTAGGGAATCTTGTTCCTGGGTGGTGCAAATGATTTGCACTTGGCTGTGAACCTAAAGGTTGGCGGTTCAAAGCCACCCAGTGGCACCGGCATAGAAAGGCTTGGTGACCTGCTTCTCTAAAGACTGTTGTTATTCTCAGGTGCCATGGAATTGATTCCAACTCCCAGTGACCCCATGTGACAGAGAAGAACTGCCCCATTGGGTTGTCTTGACTATAATCTCTATGGAAGTTACTCTATGGAAGTAGATTGCCAAGGTCTTCCTCCCACTGTCTCACTGGATGGGTTTGAACCACCGACCTTTCAGTTAGCAGCTGAACACTTAACCACTGTGCAACCATGGCTTCTTCCATACAGATTACAGCCAAGATAACCTTATGGAGCACTTGTAGTCTGTAACACATGGAGTCGCCAAGAGTCAGAATTGACTCTATGGCAACAGGTTTGGCTTTTATGACAGAATCATTCAGGACAATATTTGCTCCAGAAAACTGAAAAGTGCTTTGGATGCTCACCTGAGGGAAAGAAAAGAAAAACCTTTTATCGCCCCCGCTTTCCTTCCTTCTGAAGTACGCCACTACAGGAACCACTGGCTGGAGATAAGGACGCTGATAGGCTGTCAGCGATTGTTCCAGCCAGCGACTGGGCAGGGCTGTCAACAGGGCACAGTCCTCCCTGTCACACATTACCACACTGTGGTGCACCCATCACACCCAACAGCAACAACATTACACTGAATTAACAAGCTGAGCATCTTCAAACCCTGCAGAAGGAAAAGAGTGGGCACTGACAGGCGTTAAATATTTGGAAGATTAAAGTCAAAGAAGACAGTGTAATAAATGGCAAAGGAGTGGATAAGCCTGCAATGAGAAAGGTGTAGAACAGCACGGATGGGTTGTGTGAGGATGAGGGGTCCTTGGGGGCTGTTTACTAGCTGCTTCACAAAAGACAGCCTCATTTGTTTCTCCTCACTCTTTGTTATGTTCTTATATCACTAGGAGCACATTTCAGCAACCAACGTTACCACGTCGATTCAATGGCACAAGAATCAGGATCCTAAATCACTCCCAAACCACGGGAGCCATCAATCCAACAGTACCCACACATTACCTTCAAGGACTAAACTCTGACGGTGCTCTGTCCTCACCAAGAGTTCGTGTCCACTGAACACTCAATTCACTTTCCACTTGTAGCTCTGCTGTGAAATGTAACTTCATTGTTGTGTTGTTTTGTACATTTTTGAACTTGCTTAAAATGAACAGCCCCAAACCAGCAATGTCTGTGATTGTACGGCCTTAAAAGGCAATAAATAACTTACCCGTATCGGAAGTAAGTACTAAACTGTCTGCAGAGGCGGTGGGCGAGCTCTCGTTTCCCACAAGCTTGAGGACCAGCCAGGATCAACATGGGGTAAGGAGCATCCAGACTAGGCAGGGTGCTACAACACAAGACCGGGGCAGTCAGTGTGCTATGGTAGCCAGACACATGGGGCCTAACCAGCACCCAACATGTAAAGTTCCCATGTCAAGTCACAACTAATCCAGTTAGATCATCACTTGCTATGTGAAGACATTGTACCTACCTTCTAAAAACAACTTGATTATAAAATGACAAAAATAATATTCCTAGCATCTCATTGCTGTGGAGTCGATTCCAACTCTAGTGACCCTATAGGACAGAGCAGAACTGTCCCCATAGGGTTTCCAAGGCTGTCGATCTTTACAGAAGTTGAGTGCCGCATCTTTCTCCCATGGAGTGGCTGGTGGGTTCAAACCACAGACCTTTCAGTTAGCAGCCAAACATTTAACCATCATGCCGCCAGGGATCCTCATTCATAGCATAAACCAGACCCACTGCCATCAAGTCAATTCTGACTCACAGCAACCCTATAGGACAGAGTAGAACTGCCTCATAGGGTTTCAAAGGCTGTAATGTTCATGGAAGCAGACTGCCTCATCTTTCTCCCACAGAGCAGCTGGTAGGTTTGAACCACTGACCTTCTGATTAGCAACCTAATGCATTAACCACTGTGCCACCAGAGCTCCTCATTCATAGCACAGATAAGGTATAATTCAAGTATATGTAAATCTACTTTAATATGATTTTTTAAAAAGAACAATATGGTAAGATATATTAGTTCTTGATAGCTAAAGTATTTTCCCCAGAACCTGAAAAATGAAAGAAATTAAGATTGCCTGTGAAAGTAAAACTTCATTGGATTAAAACACAGATAGGGAAACTTAACAGTAATATCTAAAATTTACCTGAGCAATAACTGTGTGCCAGCACTGTCCTAGGAGTCTTACTGATATTATCTCATTTAAATATCACAAGAAGCCTATGAATGTGCCCTATTTTAATCTTCATTTAACACATGAAGAAACTGAAGTGCCGAGAGCTAATGAACTTGCTCAAAGACACAGCTAGTGTAAGAGCTGTTTACGTACTGGATATGGCTTCTGGGCCTGAAACACTGGATTCAGGAATGAACAGATTTATGAAATTCTGTGCAACATGCTGGGCTGACGGATGAGTGTGGACTACACTCATAAAAATTACAGAAATAAAGACTAAAGCTTAATGTTTTCTAAAAATACATGCTGCGATGTCACTTCTATAACAATGGGGACAGTGGCAGCATAGTTTTGCAACTTCTCTGAACACCTGCATGAAAACTAACGGCAAAAGCCCATGGAAAATATTTAGAACAAAGCTAGGTGAAAAATTGTCTCCTCAAACCCTAAAACACAAATTGGGTGGGATGGGGGATGAACTGCCAAAGCCTCAATATCTGCCATGATACTGGAGTCTGAACAGGGTGAAAAAGAAAAACAACGGGGCAGGATCTGACCAAAGAAAAGGGGACCCCAAAATAGCCAAGGGATTCTCACTGGAAAGCAAGCAGACTGGAACCAGGAAGTGTTCTGCA